TACTGCTTTGGCGGCTGACAGGAAACTGCCGCCTCTGCCTGTCTTGCCAAAGTTTGAAAATGGCTGCCTTAATCAAGCACCTGCCAGCTGCCTGCCTCCAGCCCTTAAAGTGGCAGACACCCAAAGGTGTACCGCTACGCGTGTGCATTAGGTTTGTTTATTACATGCTCCTGCCACATACTCAAATTAAAGCTGGATAGAAACCAGCTATAAAGTCATTTTACATTTTCAAGCACGTACTTTGTAGTGGTTGGCTTTTTATAGCTAGATTGATATTTTTAGGGCATGATAATTACTTTGCACGTGTAGCCGATTTAAATTTATTGTGCAATTAACCAGTTAATCGAATAATATATGAAACATGTGGTGGGGCCACAAAGACACTTGTGGAGTGGTGCACAGTGCATTTCTGCAGCAAGGTCAAAGAGCACTCTTACTCCCACCTGCTTGTCAGTGCCTTCACAAGCACCCCCACTCAGGTGCTACATCTGCCTCTGTCTACAAAATACAGTATTTTACCCTTCAGACATATTTTCCTTCTGGTATTCTGGTTTTCTGTGTTAAGATTTTCTTTTTTACCATGGGGACTAGAAAACCCTTTCCTTAGAAAGGAAAGCTGAGATTCTAACACAGGGGTGGGCAATTATTTTGTCTGGAGAGCCATTTAAGTAAGTCTTGGTGTCCTCTTGAGGGTCACATCTCTCTCTCTCTCTCTCTCTCTCTCTCCCCCCCCCCCCAGCCCCCCCACCCTGTAGCACGCCCCAGTCCTCATCCTTTCTCTCTTTCTCTGTCTCTGCCCTCCCTCCCCGGAGCTTTAGCATGCCCCCCATTCTCTCACTCTCTCTCCTCCCCTTTCCTGGAGTTGTAGCATGCCCTAACTCTCTCTCTCTCTCGCCCTCCCTGGAGAAATAGCATGCCCTGATCCTTATTTTCTCTCTCTCCCCACCTTCCCTCCCTCCCTCCCATCCTCCTCCACTCCCACCTGAAGCTGTTGCACACTCCAACCCCATCTCCGACCCAGAACCTGCCAGCCCTATCTGCAGTTTATGCCAGCACTTACCCAGAACAGTAGAAGCAGCTATAGATGCAGCTGGCAGGTTCCCAGTGGGGATCGGGGTATCTGCCCCAGTCCACAGCTGACACCACCGTGTCAGCGTTGAACAGAAACAGTCCTGCCTGCCTGCCTAGTACCATGTGACAGCCAGATCCCATGAGCTGGCAAGCACCTGCCTGTGGGCCAGATACAATCAGTTGGAAGGTCAGACCCAGCCCGCAGACTGTGTTTTACCCACTCCTGTTTTAATGTATTCTCATGGCTTGAGGAGCTGGTGCTTTACTACCAGATCTCAGCTCCTGGGGTACATCTTTCTTATGCAGGACTGAAGAGGGTGCTGCATCCCCTAGAGATTAAACTATACACAGGAAAGAGT